GAAGAAGGAAGGGTTCTGTCATCCCTTGCCAGAGGAGGGAAGTAAACAGGGCAGCAAGAGACTTGGCCTGGGGCCGCATCCCTGAGAGCCCAGAGCCAGGCCTTGTGGGGAGCTGGGTGGGGTCAACACCCCTTCCCACTAAAGCCCCTTTCTGTCCATCTGGACAAGTCCATCCGGCTTGTGACTTAAAGGCCTTTCCCCTTTGCCTTTAAAAAAATAGCTTCTTAATTTTGGCTCTTTGGATCCATATGCCACTTCCCAGGCCTGATTGTTCCCTGGGACTGCCAGAAATGCCCCCAGGATCTGGTGGTGGAGTCAGATAGAAACTTCCAGGCAAGAGTTCTGGCCCTGCCCCATTAGGATGGCCTTGAAGACTCCCACCCCTCTCCTTGCTGGGTCTCAGTGTTGGTGTGTATGAAATGAAGGTGTAAGACTGACTAGGTGTGCTCTGGGGGCCCTTTGGGTCTGATGGGGCATGCATGGTCTACTTCCGGTTCATTTCAACACCGCTCTTTCCATCTCGGAGGAATGAGGGGCTTCCATACTCTGTCACCCACTGAGCATTTGCCAACTCCCTGTCCCCATGTCTTGCCATCTGGCTGAGGTCCCTTCCACCACAGCCTCAGCCAGCTCCCCTTGGTTTCTCCTTGGAAGATAGAACCCTCTCCCATCATAGTAACTCCTCAAAGAGCTGAAAGCTATTAGCAAAATCCCTCCCCATTCATACGCACACATTCTATTTTTAAATAACATTTACTTCTGATTCGAAAAATAAGGCTGTACCTGATCATTGCAGAAAAACTGGAGACAGACAAGCATAAAGGAGAAAATAATAATCACCCATAATCTTCCCAAATAACGATAACCACTATTAATAGGTTTTATTTAAGTACACACATATGGGATTTTTTTTTCTGTGATAAAAATGGGATTGTGCTGCAGATGTGCCTTCAGGTCATCCCTGCCTATGTGTGAAGCCTTGAGTCTAGCTCAAGTTCTTCCTTCCCAGACTCCCAGGCTCCCAGGCCTGTAGGCCCATTAGGTGGGTGCCTCAGTGCCTTTCCTCAGGCAGGAAAACCTTACTCTGTGGCTATGTAAGCACCTTGGTTCAGAGGCCTCTGGGAGGCCCAGAGTTGAAATACTGACTGCCTCCAAGTGTGTAATTCTGTGTGTGTGTCTATGTGTGTCTGTGTGTGTGTACACATAAGAAAGAGAAGGAAGCCAGACAGGGTAGTACACATCTATAAGGCCAGCAATTGGGAGGCTGAGGCAGGAGGATCATGAGTTAAGAGGCCAGTCTGGGCTACATAGTGAGACTCTGCCTAAAAAAAAAAAAAAAAAGAAGAAGAAGAAAGAAAAGACGGACCGAAAGACAAAAACATAGAAGGAGACAGTATTGGGCACTGGGGAGAACACTCCAAGGACTCACCATAATGCAGGGGGAAGGCATAAGCTAGCTCCAGGGATCATTGTCCCACTTCAGCTACATCTGAGTCACAGGTGGGCACCGCAGGAGCCACCCTTGTTCCTTTCCACAGAGCAAAGGGAGCCTCCTGCTAAGCAAATCCACTCCTATCACTTGAGAAAGAAAACAACTTTGCAAGCCGCTGTCCAGCCCACCTAAGTTCAGGGTTGAGTCTACTGGTTGAAGTGTGGGTGGCAATGCCCACCCAACAGCCTGGCTTTGGTTTTGATGGGGTGGAGGGACTCTCGGCCCACACTGACTCTCCTGGGCCTGCAGACTGGGAAGTGGGAATGCCCAGATATCTGGGACCTCTCAGAGACTTCAGGGGTGTCCCAGCTAGAGGTACCTTGGCCTCTGCCTTCTCACTTCAAGTTGGGGGAGTCAGGGCCCCAAGAGGGGGAAGGACATGCCCACAGCTACACAGAAAGCTGATGGTTGAGGCAGCCCTGGGGACTTGTCAGTGTCCCCAGTCTGGTGTGACTTCCCACATGGCAGCTCCTTATTGGTGGGGGCTGAGAAGGCAGGTGCAGGGGTACAGAGGGGCCATGACAGACTAAGAATTCAGCAGTTCCACCTCATATGCTTCCAGATGCTTCCCAACCCAGGCAGAGCCATACTCTCTGCCGTATGCTTATGTTGCCTGGTGTCTCACGGTCTCTTCTGTCCAGGGGAAAGTCCTGTGAATCCCTAAGCCAAAACCATCGGACCCTCCTTTTCCTTCATTCAACTCAGCTGCTGAGCACTGCTTACCTCCCCCAGGAGTACTTTGAGCCAAAGGGACCCAGCAGGGAACAAACAAGCCAATCCCTGCTTCCTTGGAGCTCACAGCCACGAGGCTGTGGGGCTCTCCTCGGAGGTGGAGTGGCTGTTCCCAATTTTCTGTTCATTTAAATTCCACAAATGCTGTCTGCAGGGCATGGAGTCACACATGCGGGACAGGGCTGCATTTCTTGTACCCACGGTAGTGATGTGTAACAAGCACTGTGCTGGGGAGAAGGCGGTGCGCTCTCTCATGCTCCATGGGAGGAATATGGACCTCCTAATAAGGTTGAAGATTGGGTTACTCCATAGCTACCCATGGAAAACCTCACTTGTGTGCTCTCATCCCATGGTGGCTGACACTGGCCACTAGCTGGCTTGTTCTACATGTAGTCTACATGGGTCAGTTTGGGCTTCCCCACAGCATGGCTGCCAGGTTCCAAGTATTAGGGTCCCAAAGAAAGCCCAGAAGAAGCTGCATCCCTCTTTATTATCTAGCCTTCAAGTTCCCAGAGCTGCACTCCTGCCACAGGGATCTACTTGAGTCCTCAAGTGGACAGAGGGTAACAGAGTTGTAGCTATTATCTCTCAAGCACATATAACCTACCAGCCGGTGAGCAGCCATCATCCTTTCAGCCATCTCAGTGGGCCTGCTGTTGTCCCCATTCTGTAGATCGGAAGTCAAAGGTTCAGGAAGGCTGCTCTGCCTGCCCAAGTCACACAGCAGGGATCGCACCCAAGTCTGTCTGCCTCCAGAGCCACAGCTCTCAACACTCTGTACCCAGCTCTCCATCCCTATCCCTAAGTCATTTTTGGCCCCAGGGAAAGTGTGATGAGAAACTTAGGTGGGCAGCTGCCCCTAGGTTCAGATCTAGGAAGATTTTTTGGCAGAAGGAACATCAAGCAAAGCCTTGAAAGATGAGTTCCATTTGGACACCTTTGGAATAGGGTGGCAATCCTCATGGAGTAGCAGTGGATAAAAGGGCCCCCAAACCACCCAGGAGGGTTGCTGTGGCCCAGAATACTGGCCTTCACCCCCTCACACACCAACACATTGTAAACTGTACTCCCCACAAGGCAGGCTGAAGTGGGAGTAGTGGGTGGGTTTAGACCCCAAAAAAATGTCCCAGTGGTCCCTGCCCTCGACTGTATTACCAGCAGCTTCCTCCTTCTGAGGCTAGGACTGGGGTGGAGGCTTCCTCCTCTTCCACCCCTCTGTGAAGACTTGGGTTTTCTCTTTGGAGATGGGGTAGGTCTGGGCTGTTCTCCTGTGCAAATGCAAACTGGGCCTCAGAACAGCAAGCATCCCTGTAGCAGGCTTGCTGGTTTGGGGCATTGTGAATCGGAAGTTTAATTATCTCATTGATACAAATCTTGTGTATTCCAACAGCAGTCTCTGTCCCTTCCAGGCCTCTCTCTTTCAAGTCTTGTGTTGTGTACCTCTCCTCTCCCACCCACACTAGGGATCCCCTTGGTTCCTGGGTTCCTCCCTTCTTTTGTTCCCTATTTGCATCTGTCTTCCCCCACCCCTCCCTTTTCCACTCTCCTCTTTGTTGGTCTCCTCTTTCCATCTGTCTCTGTCTTAAATCTCCCCAGTGTCTGTCTCTGTTGCCTGGCTTCCCCTCACCCTCTCTTCCTTGCTTTCTCTGGACTGACGGCAGTCCCCTCTCTTCTTGGACAGACGTCTAGTTGAAATGAAGCACTCTAAAGAATGCTAATAGGAAAGGCAGCATTAATTAGCCAGCTCTGGCATAATTAGCTCCACTGCCTGGTGTCTTAACTGGATAATGAGTCTCTCTGTCTAAACAGAAGGCAGGCAGGACAAGGGGACTAGGCCATGCCTGGTGATGCCGAAAGGGGTCCTGCCTTTGGGCCACCCTACTGGAATCCTCGGGTTGCCCATCGCTGCCCTCTCCTGCCAGGCCCTCCTGCTGCTGTGCTCAGATCATGGGGAGGCAGATGCCTGGCCCCTGCCTGTGCCCAAAGGTTCGATGTTGCTGGAGCTGCATATAAAGTGGCCTGAGTCTGAAACAGTGGCTGCAGTTGCAGCCTTCCAGACAGGGGGTGGGGAGCTACGGATGGCTCTTGAGAGCTATGACAGGCACTGAGCCCTGGCACAGCCCCCTGAGCAACAGCTGAGCACGTTACAGTCCCCAGAGGGGAGCAAAGAAATGCTTATGTGACAGCACTTAACGGACTACACAGGCTGCAGAGTACTTGCACCCTTGACTCCACAGTCACGAGGCAGAGATGGCCCCTTCCCTTTTATAAATGATGACTCAAGTTCAGAGACGCACACTGCCTTGCCAGTGTTCACACTGGCAGGACCCAAACCAGGGTCTGTCTGATTGCAGACATCATTTTCCTTCCCTACCACCTTGATACTTCCTGAAGGTTCATGACAGCTGCTTATTGGACATGGTTGTTGTGGTGTCATATCTTACAGTGGCCTTGAGTTCTACAGAGAATGCAGCACAACCCAAAAATATCACGTGTAGTCAAAATTCTCGAATATCCCTTTCAGGGGGAGAAACATCTTTTCCGTTTGGGCTGGCAATTCTCTTTTTCTTGGCCTTGAAAGCCAAGATCTAGTTGGGGAAAGAGATGAGGAAATAGCGGGATTTTTCTTTCTGTTTGGTGCACGTGTGGAGTTCGGTAGAGCTGAGCCTGCTAGATGCGATTCTATTAATATTTGGGTGAGTGGACGGGGCTCGTACCCAGGTGGGGCACTGCCCCCTCCTTCCAGGCTGCTGACTCTCTCCCTCTCCTGTAGGCTATGGACTCAGAGGATGACCCCCTCCTGCAGGATGTGTGGCTAGATGAAGAGCAGGAAGAGGAAGAAGCAACAGGTGAGACCTTTAGGGGGGCCCGGAAGTCAGGGCCTCGACCTGGGGCGGGGGAGCAGTGTTGCTGGCGGCGCTGGACCTTACCTCCTCGGCCCCCAGCCTCGGGGTTCTGGAGTACCCTGGGATGGGCCTTCACCAATCCATGCTGTGCGGGGCTGGTGCTCTTCCTGGGCTGCAGCATCCCTATGGCCTTATCAGCCTTCATGTTCCTCTACTACCCGCCGCTGGACATTGACATCTCCTACAATGCCTTTGAGATCCGCAACCACGAGGCCTCTCAGCGCTTTGACGCCCTCGCCTTGGCACTCAAGTCCCAGTTTGGATCCTGGGGGCGCAACAGGCGCGACTTAGCCGACTTCACCTCTGAGACGCTTCAGCGACTTATTTCAGAGCAGCTGCAGCAGCTGCATCTTGGTAACCACTCGCGACCCGCTCCCAGAGCCCCACGCACCGTAACTGCGACCACCCAAAAGCCAGTGGCCAATCCGAGTGGGCGTCTTCGGCGCGAAGCCCCGCCCCTGGTGGTCGGGCAGCCAACCGGAGTGGAACCCCGCAGGACCAGCGCTCGGCGAAGAATGGGCGGCGCCAGCCCAGCGCCCCACCCCCTGCAGCCACCGTGGCCAATCAGAGCCGTGTCCGTCGGGGCACCTCGCGCTGGGATTACTCGCGTACTTACGTGAGCCCTAATACCCAGACGCACGCGCACTGGCGCATAGAGCTCATCTTCCTGGCTCGTGGAGACACCGAACGCAACATTTTCACCAGTGAGCGGCTGGTCACAATCCATGAGATTGAGCGCAAGATCATGGACCACCCAGGCTTCCGGGAATTCTGCTGGAAGCCCCATGAAGTGCTCAAGGACCTGCCGCTCGGCTCCTACTCCTACTGCTCTCCGCCCAGTTCACTCATGACCTACTTCTTCCCCACCGAGAGGGGCGGCAAGATCTACTACGATGGCATGGGCCAGGACCTGGCAGACATCCGGGGTGAGCAGGTCCAGCGTGGCTTGGGTTTGCTTAGACAGAGAACCAGGAATCTGGTTGGAGGAAGATGGGAGACGGGTTGAAGGAAGATCAAGGCTGGGTTAGTGTTAGGTACATCAGGGATGGGGACTTGGGGAAGAGCGGGAGACAGGGCCAGAGAATGGTGGTAGGGGCTGGGGCAGGTATTGGATGTACCGCTTAAGGGAGGACCTGGGCGAGGCACAACACAAGGAGGAGGGACTGGAACAGGACTGGAAGGTGGAGACTCAGGAACGCAAAACCTGAGCCCTGGAATTTTGTGAGGTTTAAATTGGAATGCAAGTGTCAACCTGGTGGGAGCTTCTTGGGAAGCTGTAGGTTCTTGAAACCATCCCTGCCTTGTTAGTTCCCCCTCGAGGTAGGAAGCTCCCTAATACCTTGAAGCAGTGTGAGGTGATGGTGAGGAGGGCTGGTGGGAGCTGTCCACTGAGCTGTTTGGGCTCCACCCTGCCCCGCAGGATCCCTAGAACTGGCCATGACTCATCCCGAGTTCTACTGGTACGTGGACGAGGGCCTCTCGGCAGACAATCTGAAGAGTTCCCTCCTGCGCAGTGAGATTCTGTTTGGAGCACCCCTACCCAACTACTACTCTGTGGATGACCGCTGGGAGGAGCAACGGGCCAAGTTTCAGAGCTTTGTGGTCACCTACGTGGCCATGCTGGCCAAGCAGTCTACTAGGTAGGAAGTCCAGCTGCATCCCAGTGGGTGCCTGTCCCTGCATGTACCAGGAGAGACCGAGCTGTACTCGGGTAGTGAATTGGTTTCCATGGGTCTCTTACTCATAAACCTCAGGTCTCCTTCCCTACAGTCTTTTTCCTAGGAATTCTTTCTTCCCAAATCAGAGCAGAGCCAGGTGCATCCTCTTTGTCTCTCTGAAAGACACCCTTTTCTTGATCAGTGCTAATCGTTAGTGAACATGACAGCTTTGAGGGAGGTAGGTAATTCCAGAACTCTTGCCCTGGAGGCTTGGGTATTGATTTTCTCCTGAGATGGTGTTTTCTAGAAAGATTACTGGCCAGGGATTAAGGACTCCTGTCTGCCTTTAATACCCAGGGAGACAGTGTACAAGTCACTTCGTTTCTCCCAGCATTAGTTTCCCTACTTGTAGATGGGGAGTAGGATTTCTGTTACCTTGGTCATCTGGAAGACATGAGGTAACAAATGTAAAGGTGCTTTAGGATGGTGTGTCCTGGGATACAGCTGGTGGGTTCCTCCCCTCCAGGACAGGGCAGAGTCTTGCTGGGTAGTGACTCTGGTGTCGTTCTAGTCCCTAATTCTAACAGGCCAGACATAGGAGGAATCATTCCACCGGAAGTACCCTTGGCAGTGCCTCCCATTGCTCACCTTTATATTGAGCGACCGCCGAATAATCAGTTGTCATCACTCGAGCACTGACTTTGTGCCACACACTGTTCTAAGCCCATTAAAGACACTCTCATTTAATTCCTACACCAACCCAAGGAGGGAGCAGTGCTGTTATGATTATCTCTAATTTACACTTGAGGAAACTGAGACACAGCACAATTAAGTTGACCAGAATTTTAAAGCTCTTCATCAGTGGCTGAATGGAATCCACACACAGGCTTTCTGATCCACAGCCCATGCCCCTGGGGTTTCTATATCAGCTAATGTACTCGGAGCCCTCTCCCTGCCCTGTTCCTTTGCCATGCAAGCACCTGTGCATCTATAAAGGTCTGTCTTTGACTGTTTTCCTCTGAGGCTGGTTAAATGCTCACTACTGGTTTCCAGTCCCCTTCTCCTCAGGGAGGCAGGAAAGAGCCTCCTTTGGATGTTGGATGGAAACATCTCTGTGTGGTGGGATCCCAGTTACTTCACTTCCTAGTTGTGGGAGTTTCCCTGAGCTTTTTTGCCTCTCTGAGCTACTTTTCATCAGAGTGATTGTCACTTTGTATTTTATTCATAAATGAAAGTGCAGTCCTTGAATCAACAACATCAGCATCAGCTGGGGGATTGTTAGAGTTGCAAAATTGCAAGCCTGTCCCCAGATCTACTTATTCCGGGAGCTTTGTTTGCATGTGAAAGTTTGAGAAAGGTCTGGTTTCATTATGTCTCAATAGTGTGAGTTAGTTGAGGCCTGGGATTGTTTTTGGCTAGTTTCTGTGGGCCCAGCCCCAGCAGTGTGTCAGGCAACCCTTAGTGAGGATTTGTCTGAGGAATGACTGAATGACTGACTGGATGGATGGATGGAGGTATCTTAAGAACAGGCAACTGAAAGGGGCTGACTGTGGAAGGCTCTTTAGTGTTTCAGAAACCAATTATCCCTGTAGAAGTGTTCATCTGCTAAGATCAAGCCCCTGCCCTTAGGGGGAGAAAAAAAAAAAAACCTTCCCTTCCCCCTAGAGCTTCATAGCAATTGTGACAGCCAGGGCTCCTAGGGACTCGATTTCAGTGTCATTTTTGAATTAATAGAATCTTTTTTATTTTATTATTGGCAACCCAAGAAATGAAAGCATGTGCCTTGACTCAATACAGAATTATGCACGTCATCACTTTTACTACTTCCTGATAATACAAGTCTTAGAATACTGCCACTGCTTTTATTGTGTATCGGCCTTTTGCATTTTTATCGTGTGTGTTTTAATTCTATATGCATTTAAAACCTCATAAGGCATTACATTATTTTACGTAGTCTGTGTTCATTTGTATTTATTCACATACTTACCTTTCCTGATGCTCTGTTACTTTCCACAATTTCATGTTTCCCTCTGGGATCATTTTCTTTGTGTCTAAAGAACTCTCTTTAGTTTTCTTTTAGTGTAGGTTTGCTGGTGATAAAATCTGTTTTATTTGCCTAGAAAACATCTTTATTTTACTTTCATTTTGAAGTCTATTTTTGCTGGTGTAGTTGTAAATTAGCAGTTATTTTAATACTTTAGAGATGTCTTTCCACTGTCTTTTGAATTCCATTATTTCAGTAGAGAAGTTAGTTGTAAATCTTTTTTGTTGCTTCTTTAAACACTTATTTTTCCTCTAGTTTTAAAACTTCTCTTTAGGCTGGTGGAGTGGTTCAAGTAGTAGAGCACCTGCCTAGCAAGTGCAAGGCCCTGAGTTCAAACCCTAGTGCTGCCAAAAAAAAAAAAAAGATTTATCTTTATCTTTAGTTTCACTAGTTTTAGTATGATTTTCTTTGTATCTGATTTGCTTGGGTTACATAGCTTGAATCTGTAGATTGATGAGTAATCGATCAATCAGTTTTAGGAAATTCCTGGCTCTTATCTCTTCAGATGCTGCTTCCACCTTGTTCTCTGTACCTTCTCCTTTTAGGACTGTAATTATATAAACATATATTTTTTTCACAGAGTTCCATCTGTACTCAATGCTCTTTTCTAGGTTTTACCTAATTTTTTTTTCTTTCTGTATTTTGGTTTAGATATTCCAGTTCACTAATGCTATCTTCTACTGTATCTAATCTGCTCTTTAATAACTGTTGAGTTTTTAATGTTCATGTTCTGTTTTTCTGTAAGAATTTCCATTTGATTCTTTTTGTAGATCCTTTTTTGTTCATAGTCTCCTCTCTATTCATAAGCATACCAATTATAATGGATAACCTGTAGATTTGTTTCTGTAGTCTGTTCTTTTGCTTGGTATTTGGTTATGCAGTTCTGCCTGTACGTAGCCTGGTAATTTTTATTACATAATGAACACTGTGCAAAAACACATAGGTGCAAAATAGTGTTATTTCCTCCCCATAAAGAGTATCCTCTGCTGTCCTGTGCAGATAGCAGTATGACTAATCTCCTTCAACAACACAGTCAAGGATGTCTGTAACCCTGGAAAGTCTCAGTCTACCTCTAGTTGGCCCTAGGTGCTCTAGGATTTTCAACTGTAAGCCTGGTGTATTCTGCAGAGTCCCTTCCCCTGACAGGTTCCAAACTTAATTTTTATTTCTCAAAGATGGAAACAAACAAACCTCCACTCTGCTTTGTTCTGAGGCTTTCTGGTTAGGTTTTTGGCTATGCAGCCCTGTCTTCAGCCAAAGTGCTGAAGGAAAACTGGCCAGTGTCTGGCTGCCTCTCAGGTCTCTGCCCAAAACTGTAGTAGTTTATCTGACTCCCAGCCAAGGCTTTCAGCCTTCCACCCTTGTTTGGAAGCAGCAAATGCCTCTCAGGTAAAAACGGCCATACAAGGACAGCTTACCTCTCCTAGGCTCTTTCCTTACTGGAATCTTAGCCCTTTGGTTCTCATTATTTCAACAACTCTCAGCCATCATCAGATGGATGATTTCTGAATTTACCTGATTTTTTAGGACAGTCAGCCCTCTATATTCTCAGATTCTGCATCCTTGGATTCAACCAACCATGAGTTGAAAATATTGGGGGGAAAATTGCATCAATATTGAACACATTCAGACTCTTTTTGTCATTATTCCCTAAGCAATAAAGTATAATTATTTATGTAGCATTTACACTGTAGTAGATATTATACGTGATATAGAGAGAAGGATGTGTATAAATTTTATGCAAATACTATCCCATTTTGTACAGGGGACTAGAGCATTCTTGGATTTTGGCATCAGAGGGAGGTCCTGGAACCAGGCCCCCATGGATATGGAGGGATCACTGTAGTTCTAGGCAAGGACCCTGGTCTTCCATGAGCTATTCCTTCCTACCTGAGAGTAAATGTTTGCACCTGTATCTTTTTACAGCCAGCAACTAGGACCCAGAACCTAGAAGACACTTTATTTTTTTTCTTTTATTATTCATATGTGCATACAAGGCTTGGTTCATTTCTCCCCCCTGCCCCCACCCCCTCCCTTACCACCCACTCCGCCCCCTCCCTCTCCACCCCCCCTCAATACCCAGCAGAAACTATTTTGCCCTTATTTCTAATTTTGTTGTAGAGAGAGTATAAGCAATAATAGGAAGGAACAAGGGTTTTTGCTGGTTGAGATAAGGATAGCTATACAGGGCTTTGACTCACATTGATTTCCTGTGCGTGGGTGTTACCTTCTAGGTTAATTCTTTTTGATCTAACCTTTTCTCTAGTTCCTGGTCCCCTTCTCCTGTTGGCCTCAGTTGCTTTTAAGGTATCTGCTTTAGTTTCTCTGCGTTAAGGGCAACAAATGCTAGCTAGTTTTTTAGGTGTCTTACCTATCCTCACCCCTCCCTGTGTGCTCTCACTTTTATCATGTGCTCAAAGTCCAATCCCCTTGTTGTGTTTGCCCTTGATCTAATGTCCGCATATGAGGGAGAACATACGATTTTTAGTCTTTTGGGTCAGGCTAACCTCACTCAGAATGATGTTCTCCAATTCCATCCATTTACCAGCGAATGATAACATTTCGTTCTTCTTCATGGCTGCATAAAATTCCATTATGTATAGACACCACATTCCTAGAAGACACTTTATAAATACCATGCAAATTAAAGTGTTCACAAATAAATGATTGATTTAACTTGCAGTTTTCTACCTAAAGAACAATTGCTCTATTTAATTCAATAAGGTAGGTAATTCCAAGATCTTTTCTCCAAGATCTTTTAGATGTCCTGGTTGAAGTATAAAGACAACTTCATTGAGGTATAATTGGCAACAACCCTCTGCATATACTTAAATTTTATAACTTGGTTGGTTTTAACACATTGATATACTATGAAACCTTCACTGCAATCAAGATAGTGAAAATATCTGTCACTCAATGTGTTTTCTCATGTCTGCCTCATAATTGGTCCACCCTGCCTCCCACCACCCTAAGAAAACACTTTTCTGTTTTCTATCATGATATGTTGGGTTTTATTTCCTTGAGTTACATACGCATGGCATCGTATAGTATGTACCCTTTTGTTTGGCTTATTCCATTCCATCTAATTAATTTGCATTGTGTCCATGTCATCGTGTGTATTAACAAGTTATTCTTTCTGAATGCTGAGTAGTAATACTCCATTGTGTGGAAATGCTATCTTTTGTTCATCTTCTCACCTGTTGATGGATATTTGGGTTTCCAGGTTTGGCTGTTGCAGATAAATCTGCAATGAACATTCTTGTATAAGCCTTTGGGTGGACATATACATTCCTTTGTCTTAAATACCTAGGAGTAAAATGACTAGGTATATGTTTAACTTTTTAAAAACCTGTCAAACATTTCCAAATTGGTTGTACCATTTTACATTCCCACCAGAGGTATATGAGAATTCATGTTCTTCCACATCCTTTCTAACACTTGGTATGGACAGTGTAAAGTGTTTTTATTTTTAGCTTTTCTACAAAAAGAAGAGGAAGAAGTTGAAGATTTAACTATTCTGATAGGTGCATAACAGTATCTCACTGTGGTTTTTGTTTCATTTTCCCCAGTTACTAGTGATGTTGGGCATCTTTTCATGTGCTTACTTAATATCTATTTATTTTCTTTGGCGAACTGAACTGTCTGTGCAGGTTTTTTGCCCGTTTTCAATTGGGTTTTTTATATTTAGTACTGTGTGATGTTCCATTTTGAGTTAATCTTCATCTATGGTACAAGACATGGTATGAGGTTTATTATTTTGAAATGAATATCTAATTATTCCAGCATCATTTGTTGAAAAGACTATTCATTTCCCACTAAATTACCTTTGCACCTTGGACAAAAATCTGTTGACAATGTATGTGTGGCTCTGTTTTTGGATTTGCTATTCTGTTTCATCAATCTGAACAGTCTTAATTACTGTAGCTTTATACCAAGTCTTTTTTTTTTTCACTGTTGGAGATCCAACCCAGTGCCTGGTGCGTGCTAGGCAAGTGCTGAATCAGCTTGTTTATTTCTACAAAAAAAAATAAGTCTGCTGGGATCTTGAGTCTGATTTTGTTTATTTCGTAGTTCAATTTGAGGAGAACTGACATCTCAGTATTGAGTGTTTGGACCTATGAACATGAGGTATCTGCCATCTTTTGTCATATTTATTCCTAAGTGTTTCATATGTTACTCTATTGTAAGTTATATTTTTAAAATTTCATTTTCCAAATGTTTAGTTGCTAGCATTTAGAAATATAATTTGGGAGTTCTATAACCTTGCTGAACTTACTTATTAGTTCTGTTGGATTTTCTGGTTATTGTTTCATTTTGTTTTTTAGATTCCATTGGATTTTTTACATAGATAATTGTGTGTTGTACTAATAAAAACCATTTTGCCTTTTTCTAATTTCTTTTTTCTTGCCTGATTGCACTGGTTGTATTAAATACACAATCATATATATTTAATGTACATATTAAATACATCCTGTCTTATTTCTGATAGAAGTATGTAGGTTTGTGGTATATTTTATTGGGTTAAGGAAGTTCCATTCTACTCCTAATTTGCTGGTAGTAATGAATATTGGATTTTTTCCTAATGTTTGTTCCGCATCTAGAGAGATGATTGTAGTTTCTTCTTTTTAAATTTAATGTGCTGAATCACATTGATTAAACTATTTATTCCTGGGGTAGACCCCGTTAGTCATGATACATTGTCTTTCTCATGTAGTCTTAGATTATGTTTGTATTCTGTGTTCATGGACACGATATGTTCATGATAAACATTGGGCTATACTTCTCTTGTAATATCTTTGTTCTGTTTTGGTATCAGGGTAATTTCCGGCCTCACAAAATGAGTGGAGAGGTATTTTCTTTTCTTTAGTCTTTTGGGAAATTTGTATAGAACTGATATCATTTCTTCCTTAATTGGTAGAATTTGCCAATAAAACTGTGCCTAGAGTTTTCTCTATGAAAAAGTTTTTAACCTATAAATCCAATTTGTAAATATGTAAAGGCTATTAATTTACCTGTTTCTTCTTGTGTGAGCTTTAGTGGTTTGAATCTTTCATGGATCTGTCCATTTCATTTATATTCAGATCGGTTGGCATAAAGTGATTCATATTTTTCTCTTATTATCTTTATAATAGTTGTAGAAATTGTAGTGATGTTACATCTTCCATGTGTATCTTCCCTTTTTTCATGATCAGTCTGACTGAAAGCATAGAAGTTTTATTGTTCTCAGAGAGCTACATTTTTATTTAATTGATTTCCTCTATTGTTTTTCTATTTTTTTTTAACTTCTGCTCTGATCTTCATTATTTCCTTCTGCTTACTTTACATTTTATTTTCCCTGTTCTACTGTCCTAAAACAAAAGTTGAGGTCATTGACTGGAAACCTTTCTTCTTTTCTAATATAGATGTTTAGGGCCACAAAACTTCCCATAAGTACTACTATTTTAGTACTATTTTAGCACATCCCACAAATTTTGATATTTCGATGTTTTTTTTCAGTTATTCTATTCCTCTTCGATCTCTTCTTTAACTCGTGTGGTATTTAAAAACTGTTGTTTAGTTTATAAATAGTTGGGGATTTTCCAGATACCTTTTTTCAACTCATTTTAAATTTAATTCCATCATAGTCAGAGAACATACTTTGTATGACTTAAATTCTTTGAGATTTATGAAGTCTTGTTTTATGGCCCATTTTATGACTGTCTTGCTAAATGTTCTTTGTGCACTTGAAAATAATGTATTCTTCTATCCTTTGGTGCAGTGTTCTATTAGTATTAATTAGATCAAGTTGATTGTGTTGTTCAAATCTTCTATGCCCTTACTGATTTTTTCTAATTGTTCTACCAATTATTGTAAGAGGGTGTTGAAATGTTCAACTATAATTGTGGATTTATCTGTTTCTTTTTTCAGTGCTTACAGTTTTTGCTTCATGTATTTTAAACTGTTATTAGGTTCAAATGCTTCTAGGATTATCATATTCTTTTGATGAATTGACCCATTCATCATTTTGAAATTACCTTTTTATACTCAGTAATTCATTCTGAAATTTACTTTATCAGTTATTAATACAGTCACTCTAGCTTTCTTTGGACTCATGTTAGCCTGGTATATATCTCTTTCTATTCCTTTTCTTTTCATCTTTTTTTTACATTTAAAGTGGGTTTCTTGTAGGCAGTGTGGTTTTCATTTTTTAAAAAATCTGACAGCCTCTGCCTTTTAATTAATGTGTTTAAATCACTTACAGTTCATGCAGTTATTAATATGGATAGACTTAAATCTATCTTACTCTTCTTGTCCGTTGTTCTCTGTTCTTCCTTTCCTCTCTTTTGTTTTCTTTTGAATGAATTATTTTCCATGTTTTTAATTTTATCTCCTTTTGGCTTTTTAACTGTAGGTTGTTTTAGGACTTATGGCATATGCATTTAAATTATCACAGTGTATCTTTGAGTCGTGTCACGCCTCACTCATCATGTACAAAAGTAGGAGCTTACCATTCTCCCTTCCTGGCTCTTACGCTACTGTTGCCAACATATGTTATTTATATTATAAACCCCATGCTACCTTGTTTTTTTTTAAGTTATCAGTTTTCTTTTGAAGAGACTTAAATAAGAATATTTCACTTATTTTTCATGCTATTTCCATTTCTAGTGCTTTTTGTGTAGATCACTTTCCTTCTGCCTGAGGGACTCCCTTCAACATCTCTTGTTGTGTGGGTATATCAGAGATCAATTCAGCTTTTATATATCTGAAGAGGGTTTTATTTTGCCTTTGTTTTTAAAATACATTTTTGCTAGGCCTAGAATTCTGGGTTGACTTTCTTTTCCCAGTATCTAAGGGATGTTGCTCCACTGTTTTCTAACTTGCATTATTTCTAGTGAAAACTCTGCTGTTGCCATTTTCTTTGTTCCTCTATATGTGATGTGTCTTTTTACTTAGGCTGCTTTCAAGATTTTCTCTTGGTCAATGTTATTAAGCAATTTGATTAAGATGTGCACTGTTGTACTTGTGTGTGTGTATTTTGTCTTGGAGTTTGTTACTCAGGGCTCTTGGATCAATGGGTTCATATTTTTCATCAAGTTTGGGAGTTTTTCAGCCATTCTGGAGAATCCAGGCTGCACTGAGGACAGGAAATGCTCTCAGGGCAGTGAGCAGGGCAACCATAGGACCCACTTGGTTTCTCATCTCTCAGGGATCATAATCCTTTGTTATCCGGTGTCTAGAATCTTTGTTCATATAGTTTCTTATAGTTCTGTCGGCTCTAGTGGGAAGGTAAATCCAGACTCCATCTTGTTATTCCCTGGCCAGAGTCAGATGTTACTGTTGTTTGTATTTTAATACACAGTTTGACCAGTTTGATTGTTTCTCTTATTAAAATAACTTGTGTTTAAGCACACATTGAATAGCAGTAGGAAACAGACTATCTAGAAACCAGTTTGAATTTAAATTTTGCTGTGGATAAATAAAAATTGGAAGATGACATAGTACCTGGTTGTAATTATTATCTGTAGAACAGTGGCTCTCAACCTTGGCCATAGATCTGAATCACCTGGGAGATTTAAAAAACACTGATGATCCAGCTGTGCCCCAGAAATCCCAGTTTAATTTGTCTGGTCTACCATCAGAATCTTTGGAAGCCCTCAGGTGATTCTAATGTCTAACCAAGGTAAAAGCCACTGGCAAATGCATGGCTCCTGGTCCTCTCTGTGCTCACAGCTGTCTTTGATCCCCTTCCTGTCCTTCCTGTCTCTGTGGCCTCCCTTCCCCCAGCAAAGTCCAGGTCCTCTACGGGGGTACAGACCTCTTTGACTATGAGGTGCGCAGAACCTTCAACAACGATATGCTCCTGGCCTTCATCAGCAGCAGCTGCATTGCCGCCCTTGTCTACATCCTCACCTCCTGCTCAGGTAGGGTTTTTTGGAAGACCCACAAGGGACAGCCCCTCCTCTTCCCAATGTGCTCCTGCCTGGCCAAAGCTGCTTCCCAGGAATTCCAGAATAGTCACAAATATACCAGTCAGAGCCAGGGTGGTCATTGTGCTCAGAAATCATCTTCAAAACCTGGGCAGGTAAATGGAGGTTCTGAGGCAGGCTGGGCCATCCCCAGAGCCCACACCCCAGAACCTCTCAGTTGACCTTTTGCCTTTTGGTCATCTTTCTCCTGTTGATGGCTTTGTGTTGGGGAGTCTGGGGCATCAGACTGTTGGTAGCCTGTTTTATATCCCATGTCAGCTACCTTCTGCCTAGGTTCACTTTCTACCTCTACCTCTCCCACTCACTAACTGCTTCTTGCTGCTGTCTGTATACAGTAGGTATGCCCTGTGGCCCAAGTAAAGAGATGGTAATGCCATCAAAACTGGAAAAAGTTGGATTAGGGCTGTGGCTCAAGTGGTGGAGCACCTGCCTAGCAAGTACAAGGTCCTGAGTTCAAACCCCAGTACTGAAAAAAAAAACAAAAAAGGCAAAGGCATGAAGTCATCTACATAGCACATTAATTGGACCCCAACCATGTGTCAGTTGTGTAAGATGCCAGGATTGTGTGGTCGACCTGACAGATACAGTTCTACCCAGGACAACAGACAATACCCACTATTCATAGCTCTTTGCTAGTACTCAAGTACTACCTCAAAGATGAGGTCCCATGGGCCACTTTACTGACTCAGATGGCTTTGTCTACCATTCGGGCCCTTCTTTGGACATGGAGAACTGCAAATTGCCCTGATACCCATGCTGAGAAGAAGCAGGGTGGCAGATGGTGTGTAGGGCTGGGGGCTGAGGCAGGACCCAGATGAAGTCAGGGACACTAAAGGTTTGTGTTCCTCAAGGGTCCTCCTTGTCACCCCCTTGTGCCTCTTGTCCTGCCCAGTGTTCCTGTCCTTCTTTGGGATTGCCAGCATTGGACTCAGCTGCCTGGTGGCACTCTTCCTCTACCACGTGGTCTTTGGCATCCAGTACCTTGGCATTCTCAATGGGGTGGCCGCCTTTGTGATTGTGGGCATTGGTGAGTTGTCTCCATTGCTATAGCAGTGGGCCTACCACTCGGAAACTCTGTCATTCCCACCTCCAAGAAAGGGCCTTCTTCCTGTCACCCCTAGCTTCCACTGGGCTCTAAAGAGCCTCCCAGGCCTCAGAAGCTTTTGGAGCATAGGGATTAGACTATGAGTGAAGGGCAGAAAGCGTAAGAAGGTATGTTGGGTGGAGGGGAATGTGAAGGCAAAGGAGGAAAAGTAGGGAGCAGACATAGATTTGGAGGATGGGGTGGGTGGGGCCCAAGGGCATGGTGGGTGGGGCTTGGACTCATGGTGAGGCATGTGAGGGGGTCTTTGCAAACTAAAGCAGAACATTCCTAGAGCCCGACCTCCACCTCTCAGAGGTGGCCCAAGCTGAGCTGGCCCTGGCTGGGGCTCCCTCCACAGGTGTGGACGACGTCTTTGTGTTCATCAACACCTACCGCCAGGCCACCCACCTGGAAGACCCACAGCTGCGGATGATCCACACCATCCAAACAGCAGGCAAGGCCACCTTCTTCACCTCTCTGACCACAGCCGCCGCCTACGCAGCTAACGTCTTCTCCCAGGTGGGAGGCCCCTTCTGGCCTGGCCTGGCCTGGCCTCCCCACCCCTCCCACACATGGCTGGCCCCTGCCTCCACTCTTTCCGCCCACCCCATTTGTGACGACAAAGCCTTTACCTCCGGGTATTTGCCATTCCTCTAGAACCCACTCTTGTTACCAGTCACCGCTTACCAAAACCTAACAAGTGGGCAGATGATGGTAATACAAACAGTATTTATTATTGATACTACTGTTACTCACTAGTAGTCATTCTACCTCTGGTTGGGCACTTGCGTTACCAAAGTTCTCTTGTATTTAATCTTTATCACCCAAGACAAAGGTACAATTACCATCCTTACTTTTCCTATGCAGAAATTGGGGCTCAGAAAGGTAGTGACTTCCTCAAGGTCTCCCAGCTGGTAGTGGTGAACCCCTGACCCAGAGCTCTTCCCACCTGCCTGCTTTGTACCACGTTTTCATCCATCATACTGACTTCCTCTTTTCTGGCCCAAGCTCCAGTGTGGGGCTCTGGAAGCAGTCAGTTTGAGCTGGGTGCTGAGAATCTGAGAGATGCGTCTTTGAGAGACGTAAAAGGCACTAGATGCTGAGTACTTACCCAGGCCTTCCTGAGAACCACGTGCAGAAGGCAGACAGAGCTGGCTCACCTCCTGCTGTGGGAGTGGGCAGGCTGGTTAACCTCTGGGCCTCACTTGTGGGTTTTTCTGGGAGTGAAATGAGAAGATGATGCTGAAGGTGTTTCACAAGGAGCACAGGCTGAGTAGTTACAACTGTCCTGTCCCTGGGCAGGTCCCTGTGGGATTTCTGAGGCTCCTGTATCTGGTTGCCTGCTTCCATCAGGTGCATCAGTCTTTCCTTTCCCCCTCACTGACTTGACCTTCATTCCTATAATGACCACCACCATGCACTTCCTCTGGGCTAGGCGCTATTCTGGCCAGGGCTCCAGGGAGACAGGAGCTTCAGCTCTTGGACAGAGTGGGTGCTTCCTCCACTGCTGTGCCCAGCACAAACCCTTGGCTTCTGGTGTCCTCCTGGACCGGGCAGCCTGGGCCTTGGTCTGGAGTGGCTGGGGCCACAGGGGCACACAGGCTGACTAGCACCACATCCTGCCCTACCTCTTGGCTCCAGATCCCAGCTGTCCATGACTTTGGGCTGTTCATGTCGCTCATTGTGTCCTGCTGCTGGCTGGCTGTGCTCTTCACCATGCCTGCGGCCTTGGGCCTCTGGAGCCTCTACATGGCGCCGCTGGAGAGTTCCTGCCAGACCAGGTGAGCTGGCCTGCACCTTCCACATCTTGGATTGCCACAGCAGGCCTTTGGGGATACTTAGCACTCCACTGTCTCTTTCGTATGCCTCTGGGGTTCTTTGGTGAGCACCTGCTGTATGCCCAGTCCTGTGCTAGGCAGGGGACACAGGGAGGAAGTGCTCCTGTCCAGCAGTGAACATCTGTGACCTCCTGCATGCCAGGAAGTGGGCAAAGCCCTTCTGCACGAGATCTGTGACACCACTGCCTCTCCCCAATTCCTGGAATTTAGGTCCTCGTATTGTGCCCATTATGCAGTGAGGACATGGGCTCAAAGACATTGGGCAGCTTTCTCAGGGTCACCCATTTAGTAAGAGCAGAGCCAATTTAAGTCCAAGAACACCCACCTTCAGACGCTGTAGGTGATCCCAGCCCCCATGTTAATCCCAGCTGCTCACCTTGAAGGAGACACTCTTTAGACCTAGAGACAAATGGGCCCAGAGATGCCGTGGAGATTGAAGGCAAGGGTTGTGAGCCTGTGGCTGGGGAGATGGAGAGGGAGAGGTGGGCTCCTGGAGGCTGCCTGAGGCCAGAGATGATGGAGCATTGAGAGATGATGGAGGGTCTTGGGCTTGGGCCTTGGTTGGTGGGGGTTGGGGGTCTTCAACATACCCACCTGGCTTTGTTGAGCTAAGGTGGTGCTGGAGAAGATGAGAGTCTAGCAATTTGCTCAGCCTTGAACCTTGAACAGACTCACACCTCTCCCTCTGGGCGCCATGTGTGGTGGTGCAGGCTGGGCACTGTACCACGTTGCCCTGGCTAGGGCTCTACTGTCTACCACATGGCAGCAGAGGGATTGTCCCCTGCTCTGATCACCTCAGTGTTGTCACCCCTCACTCTGGCAGTGTCTACTGTCACCACTTGTCTCCCAGAGGAGACTGGCGCCTGAGGAGAGATGGCACTAGAAAGAATTTAGGTAACGGCTGCTGAAGTCTGGGGCGCTCGTCCCAAGCAAGATGTCTGCAGTAGGGTTGCAGCTGGCCTGGGTTCATGTGGTTGCCAGGGCCTTGCATTGTCCTCACTGGGTGCCTGTGACCCTGGGCTCATGCCTCCCCCTTCTCTCCACAGCTGCTACCAGTGGTGTGGCCGCAAGAGCTCCCTGCACTTCTCTGGGAGTGGCCCTGCCCCAGGGCCCATACCCTACCTGGATGATGACATCCCCTTGCTGAGCGTCGAGGAGGAGTCAGGTGAGAGTCAACAGGTGGGCCAGGCTGCCCCTGGGGGAGTGGCCCTTGCCCAGGGCATTTGAGAACCAGCTGGTACCAGGGCAGGTTTGGCCACGGTGGTCTATGGGACCCCTCACCTCAGCTTTCCTAAGAGAGGGTGCGGACCAGGGTGGGCTTCTACCCTGCTTTGACAGGCCGCTGCTCTGCCCTGGCAGTGTCACTGGAGCTGGGAGATGTGTCACTGGTGTCTGTGCCCCCTGAGGGCCTGCAGCCAGCCCCCACTGGGGGCAGCCGGGGCCAGCTCCTCACACAGCTGCAGGAACTCCTGCACCACTGGGCCCTGTGGTCAGCCGTCAAGAGCCGCTGGGTGATTGTGGGTAAGTGATCCACGCTCCCCTTCTCCATGTCACAGCCTCCGCCAGGGCCTGGGACGTGGGGGGCCCCACCAAATGCACAGGCACTGGGTCTTCCTGCAGGTGGAGTTGAGGCCAGAGACCCAAGCTGCCTCCCTCTCACTGAGCCTCCTTTCTGTGTGAGAGGCAGCTGGTCCTGCTATAGCCACTGTTTACCGACCACCTGCTGTGAGCCGGTCGCCAGTCACCACACTGGGCAGGAGGACAGAGTGCTCATGCTTGGGCTCTGGGGTTCACTAGCCTGACTGGGGCTGAACCCCAGTTCTGCCACACTCTGTGACCTCAGCTGTGCTAGTCATGCGGGTGCTCAGCAGCAGTATCTAGGGGCTGGGGGCGTAGCTCAGTGGTAGAGCACGTACTCAACATGTTCAAGGCCCTGGGTTCCATCCCTAGCACCAAAATAACAAGATGAAACAGCTGGACACCGGCAGCTCACACCTGTAATCATAGCTACTTGGGAGGCTGAGATTGAGAGGATTGCAGTTCAAGGCCAGCCCAGGGACATAATTCAAAAGACCCCCATCTCTAAAACAACCAGAGCAAAATGGACTGGAGGTGTGGCTCAAGCAGTAGAGCACCTGCTTTGCAGACACAAAGCCCTGGGTTCAAGCCCCAGTCTCACTTTAAAAAAAAGTGCCTAACAGTGCAGTCCTAAGGAATGCGATAGCATATTGGGAGGTCTTAGCCAGTGTGTGGCATCACCGTCCTTGTCACCAACAGTGCGTTAGAGTTGGGGCTGATCAAGCAGCCATGCCAGTTCTTCTCGAATGTCTCATGCGCTGAGATGCTGGCTGGCTCTGATGGATGAATGTCAGCTTGTAGCTTGTGGCTGGACCCAAGTGACTCTGCATGTAACAGCCAGCCCTGACCCTGGCAAGTGTCACCACAGGCTGACAGGCTGGGCCTTTGCCTACTCCCTTACCCCTGCCCCCATGCCAAGCAGCACTGCCAGGGCCAGGGACCTGGCTGTGGGTTTACTGTTGGGCCCCAGCCCCACTAGCATGGTGTCCTTCGTCCTAGGACTCTTCGTCTCCATCCTCATCCTGTCACTGGTGTTCGCTAGCCGGCTGCGCCCTGCTAGCCGGGCTCCACTGCTCTTCCGGCCCGACACCAACATCCAGGTGCTGCTGGATCTCAAGTACAACCTGAGCGCTGAGGGTATCTCCTGCATCACCTGCTCAGGTGAGCAACCCAGCCAGCAGATCCTCACCTTCTTTGGTGCCTAGGGCTACCCTGGTCACTGTGTGATCTCAGGCATTTCACCCTTTCCTTTGTGCTCAGTGTCCCCATGTTTCATCAAGTGTGTCCTTCCCGGGTGCCTGCTGTGCACTGGCTCTGGAAAGATGCAGTGGGCAGGAGGGGGACAGGCTTCTTGAGCTCAGAGAGTCCATGTTCTTGCACCAGGGACACGCTACTGGAGCATAGCATGTGGTAGATGTGAGCCTCGATGGAGAAAGGACACGGTGCCTTGGGGATAAGCTATCATGGAAGGCTACCTGGAGGAGGTTATGTCTAAGCCATACCTGGAGAATGTGAAGGAGTTACCAGACTTGGGGAGAGCAGGAGTTAGGCAGGCTGGGAGGGGAAGGAAAGGAAGGTCTGAGCAGAGGGCAGTGCCAGTGATGGGGAAAGAACAGGGAGAAGTCTGAGAGAGGCAGCTGAGGAGTTAAGGCTGGCCAGGTGGGCTGGGCAAAGGCAGGTGGACTGAAGTGAGGAGTCTGGGTTTTATTCCATTTGTCTCCAAAAATCGGGTAAGGCTGGGGGGAGGGTTGTCAAGCAAAGAAGGGTAGAGATTGAGTCCCACAGCTGTGCGGATATGGACTGGTGGCCAGGTTGGAGGCTGGCCTGAGAGACACAGAGATGGGGAGTCAGGAAGCTTTGACTTCCACAGGACATGGTGACAGAGCAGTGTTAGGTTGAACAAGGAGGGGAGTTGCCTTCCAGGTTTCTGGTCCAGGCCCTCACCTTACAGTCTGAGTTCAGGGTGAGCACGTAGAAACCAAGCAAGAGGTTGCCAAGCCAGTGCTTCCAGCTCATGGGAGAAGAGCCGCTGTCTGCTGTAATTGCCTTCATTTAATTAGAGTGCTGTTCAGATTAACCTGGCCTCTCCTTGGTCATGGCATCAACTGAAAGTGAGATAATTGACTGCAGACCAGAGAGGGGTCCAGAGCCCCTGATAGATTGGAGCCAGCCTGGCCACATCTCCAGCCTGTGAGCCCCCCACCTGGGCACGACCTGTGCTCCTGGCTGCATTCCCAACTCCCCTGTCCCATGCCTGGGCACAGAGCTGCTGCCCTGAGACCTCCTGGCCACCCTCCACCTGGCTCCAGAGTTCACACATGAACAAAAGCCAGGGTGGGCTCTGCTCCTGGTGGCATGTGAAAAGCAGTCAGTCCCAACTGTCCTGTGTCTGAGCCTTCTCTTAGAGGGACCCCTTGGTGTTTCAGTGAAGAGGGCTCCAGTTTTCGGAAGGGCGGCCAAGACCAACCTCTAATGGGCTCTGTCCTCACGTCCTGTGTGAGTCCCCAGCCTGAACTGCCACCCTCTCCCCTGTCCTGTGCCATTAGTAACGATGGCCTCCTGAGATTGACTCGTGCTTCTGATGTATAAAGTTCTCTCACAACAAAAACCTAGTCCAAAGCACTGTAGCCATCCCGACAAGTGTGCCCATTGATAAGACCACTTCCAGCTGCCCCTGGAATTGGGTGTTTCACTCGTGCCAGACGTGGGGCTAACACTTGAGGCCGCACCCTGTTCCCTAGCCCCCTTGGTGGGAGGTGCAGCACTGCCCTCACCGGCAGGCTTTAGAAAGTGAGGTGCAAAGTAAACAAGCGGGACAGCAATTTTGTCTTTCAAGGACAAAATTCAATTATTGATGTTTTTGTCAGGCCTATCTAGTCTCGTTCAGACCCCTGACACCATCCCTTCAGCCCCTGGGCCTTTCACAGCCTCTGCCCTTTGCCCATGAAGCCTGGCAAGGGCCCTGCTGTCCTGACATGGCATGGGGGATTGGGGGTAGGTCTGTTCCAGGAGAAACCCCACAGCCTGCAGAACAATATCCGGACATCCCTGGAGAAGAAGAAACGAGGCTCAGGTGTCCCCTGGGCCAGCCGGACTGACACCACCCTGCAGGGTGAGTGTGAGAGGGGGTCAGCAAATCCTCTTTGCTGCTGGGTGTGGGGACCCTGTAAAATTCAGCCGTGATTCTCCTGCAGGAATGAAGGTTTGCATGCTTGGTCACTGTAGAGGAGCAGGGTACAAGGGAAACTCAGGACCTTGCCCACAATCCCAGCAGCTCCACTAGGCCAGGACACTGCTCTTCCCCTGCCACCTCCCAGCCTGGCCTGTTGTGTTCCAGTAACCTTTCGTGGCCACCAAAGCCGTCCTGAGCATTGGGAGGGGGTGTCCTGAGTCCTGAAGGTCAGCTTGTCACTACTGGGGTCTCTGTCAGAAGGAAGCTGCTAGGACAAGTGTATTATGGGAATTAACCCCCATGAAGCAGTTGTGTGTCTGTCATCCCATGGCATTGTAACCACCTCTGTCCCCACCACTGTTGTTACCGCCACCAGCCCCACCATTCACACCGTGGTCCCCATCAATGACATCATTACTCTAGTGCATCACTGTACCTCTATAGTCACTGCCCTGACCCCATGCCGTGATCACCACCCCCACCATCACTGCCACCCACCCCACGACCACCACCTCCACTATCAGTGCCATGGCTGCAGTACAGAAGCGAGGAACAAAGTCATCGCTTGGAGATGAGCCCCAAGATCAGGGTTCTCAGCTCCTCAGTCCTCAGAGATGAGAGTGGGGTGCCCAACGGTCGGGAGACTGTCAAAATGACTGTCCACTCCTCTTCTTCCATCCCTCACTTGTACCTAGGCTCTGTGGGCACCGTGTACATCTCCAAAGTGAAGAGTAAAGGCCACCCAGCTGTCTACAGGCTATCCCTCAATGCCAGCCTGCCTGCCCCTTGGCAGGCCATTTCCCCCGGGGATGGAGAGGTGCCCTCCTTCCAGGTGAGCCTGGGCTCCTGTAACTCAAGTTGCAACCATGAGGGAGGGGTCCACAGTGCCTCACTGTGGGTGCTGACCAGGTTGGGGGCAGTCTGGTCCTTGATAATGGAGCTGCTGCGGGCATGTGGAGATCACCTCACGTCAGCCAGGCCTGGGTTCGAGTCCTGGCTCTGCTATGTATAACCTGGACGACTTTGGGCAGATTACTTAATATCTCTGAGCCTCAGTTTCCTCATCTATGAAATGGGGGTTTATGTACCAGGCAGCATGGCTGGAAGTACGTGAGGCAAGGCCCAAATGGCAACCAGTAGTTCACCTTGTTCATGGCAGCTATTCTAGCCCCCAGAGTCCTCAGGGCCGGCTCAGATTTCCAGTCTCCCCTCCCAGGGAAATTTGTGTTCCTTCCATCCTTAGACCTTCCAGGTGAGCATCTCATTTGGTCAAGTTTGTTTCCATGTGAAAGATGAGGCCCCAGCTTTCCTAGCTCTGGACCTTTGCCTGTACTAGCACTGCCTCTGAGCTTTGCTTCTGGCTCAGTACACAGCTACCTCCAGAGTCCTGGGTCAGATCTCGGCACAAATGTCACCCCTTCATGAGCCCCAGCCTGGGGCCCTCTTCTCCCCTGCCATTGACCACCTGTCTTATCATTGCTACCGTCTGAGCCCACCCAGCCCGTACCTAATCCGAAACCATCCTAGCCGGCAGCAGCACGGGGCAGTGACCTGCCTGTTCCTCCTGCTGTTTAGTCCTCAGCGCAGATGCTCTGAGAGCGCTTGGTGGGGGAGAAATGAGTCTCAGGGAAGCAGGAAAGGATTTGCCTGGTTCTCAGACTCAAACCCAGGCCTCCTGAGCTCTGCCCCAAGCTCTGCCCCCACTCTGGGGGCTGGCACAGAGACAGGACAGGACGTAGTAGGAGGGTGGGGACAGACTCTGAGGCCCGGCCAGGCCAAGGCAGCCTCCCCGAGTCACATGTCTTGTCTCTGTCAACCCACTGCTTAGGTATATAGAGCGCCTTTTGGTGACTTCACCAAGAAGCTGACCGCTTGTATGTCTACAGTAGGGCTGCTCCAGGCGGCGAGCCCCTCCCGCAAGTGGATGCTGACGACCTTGGCCTGCGACGCCAAGCGGGGCTGGAGGCTTGACTTCAGCTTCTACGTGGCCGCCACAGAGCAGCAGCACACCCGGTAATGGCCTTGCAGAGCCGCCCATTCCCACCACCCGGCCTACTGTTTCTCTTCTCTCTCCTCTTCCCTCTCTCCCTCCCTCTTTCCATCTCTCCCCCGCTTCTCTCTCTCTTTCACGAGATGCCAGCAGGCACCTTCAGAACCCCCGTCCATTTCCACAAACATGTTCAAATGTCTGTATGCTCAGGACTGAGGAGTGGGGACACTAGCAGAGATGAAACTCACTGATCTGCACCCCAACTCACCCTCTGACACTCTCCCTCCCGACAGCTCTGCAGGGGTCAGAGTGGCCATCTTGCTGTTCCTTGGGCTCATTTCTACTTCAGGACCTTTGTTTTCATTGTCCCTCTGCCCAGAATGCCCTCCCCAGCTCCTTGTGTGTTTGGCTACTCAAGACTCAGCTTCTACCCAAATGTCACCTGTGAATGGCTGTCCTGCCCATTCACTCCGCCCAGCCTCTCCATGTACCACTCACTGCTCTTCTGCCTTTATTCATGCCCTTGGTATGCACTTAGTTCTGAAAACAGTGACTATTGCCCCCTCCCTTAGACTGAAAGGCGAGTGCAGGAGGCTGTGTCTGTTGTAGTCACCTACTGTATACTCAGTCCTGCCTGGGCCTGGCATGCAGCAAGTGCCTGATGCCTGTTGAATGAGAGGCTGTGTTCTCTGTTGGAGGGTCTACAGGGCCCTGGGGGCGTCATGTCCCAGGTTTCTTCCCCATGTAGCTGAGGATCCACCCAGAACAAACACTAACCGCCACTGTGCACTGGCACTGTGCTGGGATGGAGATTCTGTAATGACCAAGAGGAAGGGCCATCTAGCGAGAGACTGGCCTCTAACCAGTAAACGGCAGTCTTGCTACAAACTAGGATGTGTGCTTGGAAAGAAAGAGCGTGGCTCCTGGCGCAGAGCACTGGGACACCTGGGGATCACAGAAGGCTGAATTCCATGTGGGACAGAGGGTGAATTGTGGAGGTGGCTCTCTCAGGTCCCTGTCCGGGTGGATGCCCCTTGTCTTGGGGGTGGGCATCCCTCTGCTTGCCCGGTTCTTAGCAGAGAGTGGGCTCATTCTGCACACACACAGCAGAGCCCAGGGGTCAGGCGAACTGCCTGAGTGAGCATAAGACATTCTAGAAAGAACCCCAAGCTGTCTTAGGTCCAATGATCAGCAAGCCATTTGGCCATGGAACCCTTACTTCAAACAGAGCCTTGAGGCTCCAGTGTGCCACTCAGCAGGGACACTCTATCCCTCCTGAACCATTGTTGTCCCTGGAGGACAGCCTGAAAACTGCTTTGTCCTCCACCCCCATACCTCCACCTGCATGGACACTGAGAGCCAGAGAGAGGAAGGCCCTTGACCTGGGTCAGAGGGTCAGTCTTGATAGGGCATGACTAGAACAGGTTTCCAAATCCCCAGTCCCAGGCGCCCCTCTGCCTGACCAAATCCCTGTGCTGGGGCGAGGCTAGGTCTGTCCTGTGCTCAACCAGGGCCTTCAGATGGCTGCTCTTGCCTTGCCTTTCCTGACTCCTCCTGGCCTTCCTGGCCTTCCTTGCCTCCACAGGAAGCTGTACTTTGCTCAGTCCCACAAGCCCCCCTTTCACGGGCGCGTGTGTGTGGCACCTCCTGGGTGCCTGCTCAGCTCCAGCCCTGACGGGCCCACCAAAGGCTTCTTCTATGTGCCTAGTGAGAAAGGTACTGGTGGGGGCACCCTGTGGGTCCTCGGGAGCCTGGGCCCAGCCTTTTCTGACAGCTCCAACTCCCCCTACAGCGTCCAAAGCCCGCCTCTCGGCCACCTTCGGGTTCAACCCCTGCGTGAACACAGGCTGTGGGAAGCCAGCTGTGCGGCCACTCGTGGACACAGGGGCCATGGTCTTTGTGGTCTTTGGCATTATTGGCATCAACCGCACCCGGCAGGTGGACAACCACGTCATTGGAGACCCGGTACGTGGGCCCACTTTGAGCAGATGTGGGAGTGCCTGGCTGCAGCTGCCAGCTTGCAAACAAGCACCCACCTTGGGCAGCCAGCCCAGCACCTCACACATAGTCTTGGCTCCTGGATGGCTCCTCCAGCCTAGGCAGGAACCCCACAGGAACCCCTGGAGGGCTGAGGGGGACAGGCAGACGCTGCAAGACAGAGTGTGTGGCTGACCAGAAGGAAGGGGAGAAAAGCACAGAGGTGAGGTGGGACTGTGAGAAGCAGAGTAGAGATCAAGGTGTCATAGGAGCCAGGCGGGGCGGGATTGGTGGGGGCAGCAGATGACCATGCAGAGGTTGCAGCATGGTGGTGACAGCGGTAGCAAGAAGCTGCTGGAGGGTCTTCCCGAGGCGTGGGGAAGTGGAGCCCGGGCCTGAGTCCCCCTCTCTCTGAGCGGCCCGGGCCGGCTGTGTCTCCTTGGGAAAGGGTAGCGTCATCTACGACACCAGCTTTGACCTCTTCAAAGAAATCGGGCACCTGTGTCGCCTCTGCAAGGCCATCGCGGGCAACTCTGAGCTGGTAAAGCCAGGCGGAGCCCAGTGTCTGCCCTCAGGTACGTGGGGTTGGTTGCACAGTCCTCAGGCTGTAGGCCATGGTCCACGACAGACAGCAAAGGGTGCGGGCCTGGCATGCCGGTGCCTTTGCAGACGTGTCCGTGCTTGAGTATCTCCATTGGGCACACAGGCATACAGGAACAGTTGTGTCCACCAGTGAGTGTGGACTTGGGTGTGAAGAGGAATGGCACAGAGGTGTGGCGGGTGTGGGGTGTGGGCTTTTCTGAAACTGGGGCAGCGCCCACAGGTTACCTGGCTGAGGTCATGCCCAGGCTATGCCTGAAGGGCCCAAAAGGTCATTTGCACCTGATAGCTTATGTGGGTTGTAGGTTTCCCAGTGATACTGCCAGTGGTTGCCACCACTTTGGTTATTGGGGAGGCAAGTGAGTGTGTGTGCACAGGCGTGGTGGACAGCCAATCTTCTGGCCCCAGCCTCGTCTCTTCTCCTCACAGGCTACAGCATCTCCTCCTTCCTGCAGATGTTGCACCCAGAGTGCAAGGAGCTGCCCGAGCCCAACCTGCTGCCTGGGCAGTTGTCCCATGGGGCAGTGGGCGTCAAGGAAGGCCGTGTACACTGGATCTCCATGGCCTTTGAGTCGGTGAGCACACTGCACCCAGTGCTGACTTTGGACAAGTATTGCCTTTGATTCTGGACCTCATCCCAGATCAGAGAGGAACACTGAGGCCTTTGCCTGAGGTCACATGGCTAGTAGGTGTCAACATCAAGGGCCAAACCAGCCCATCTAGCTATAGGGCTCTGCCTTCCCCCCACAGGCTGCCACCAGCTCCCCTTCCCCTCTACACCAACCAGAGTCATGTTTCCTGCAGCTGCAGAGCTCTAGGGACTGGTGGGGGTGCAGAACACTCTCCTCTGCCACTGTGGGAGGCTAGGGTCAGAGCCACAGACCCTGGTGATGGGCTTTCCACAGGTAGCTAAGCGAGGAGACTTTGGAAGCCAAGGGACCAGCCACCCACACATCTCCCTGCCGCCTGTATCCCCTCTGGACATTCCCTGGACTCTGCCTAAGGAGGTGCCTACACTCACATGTGTGTACACGTGCACACACACAGGCACCTACTAACACATACACATACCCTCCATACCTGGGCCTCCCTGGGCCCTGACACTTTGCTTTCTGAGACTCAGCAAGGGCGTCTGTGCTACCTCCATATAGAGATCACCTGGAATGCTCAGTGTGCTGAGCACATCACCTCTGCTCTCTGGCCTCAGGTTCCTCATCTGTAAATTAAAGCCCTCTCCCCAAACACACACAGTTACACAGCCACAACCACACAGGAACACTGGGATAAGAAAGACAGTGGCAAGTGGAGGCAACGCCTCTTCTCCAGGCCCACATCCTTCCTCCCCACCCTTTGTGTTATTTGTTGCACAAGCCACAAAGCCACTGCCCACCAGATAGAAGGGTCCTGAAGACCTCTGGCCCTCAGGGAACTGCCAGGCTGCTGCAGATCCAAGACAAAGCTCAGAGAAGCTTTTCTTTTTAGTTCTTTCATGGCGGTAAAGCACACATACTATAAACACTTACTATCTGAGCTGTCTGTAAAAATATAAGTGAGTGGCATTGAGGACATCCCTGGGGATGGAGGTGTGGCTCAGTCGTGGAGCGCTTGACTAGCATGCACAAGGCTTTGGGTTAAATTCTCAGCATGGAAAAAAGAGGGAAAGAAACATTCTCACAGTTGTACAGCGATAGTCACCATCCAGGTGCAAAGCTTTCCATCTTCCTCAGCTGAAACTCTGCCCATTAGTCACTCCTTCCCCATTCCCCTCCTCCAGTCCCCAGCAACCCCCAGCCTACTTTCTGTCTCTGTTTGACTCCTCTAAATAGCTCGTGTAAGTGGATCACAGATTTCCTTTTCATCAGCCTAATGTCCTCAGGGCTCATCTGTGTTGGAGCATGAAGCAGATCTTCCTTTCCTTTTCAGTCTGTTTGAGGGAGTCTCACTCCACAGGCCAGGTGTCCCCCTTCCAAGCCGACCCCTAGCAACACTCAGATACACACACGCATGCGCACACAGAAATACACGCATCCGGTAGACACACTGAGAGTGGTTCCTGGTCAGCAACAGAATTGGGTCAGGAAGGTAACGAGAAAGTTCCAGAGTAGGAAGAGCCTGCTCCTTTCACGCACCCTCAGGGCCACTGTGCTGAGCTGAGCTGCACAGGCTACTCCTCCCCTCAAGACTTGCACTCCAGCCAGGAGGCAGGTTTCCAGTGACAAGAATTATGACAGGGAAGTACTGGAGGTCTGAGGGCCCAGAGAAGGCCCATCTTGGGCCCAGGAAGGCTTCCTGGAGGAGGCAGGCCCCTGCAAGCCTCAGGATCATGTGGGTCTGTGGAGGGTGGTGCCTGAGAGTGTGGAATTTTGGGAGAGATTGTGCCAGTCCTGATGTGGGCTCACTGGGGACGGCATCAGTGCTCACACTCCATTGCTGGGCACAGAACCGAGTGGCCATCCCTGGGAACGGTGAGTAGGCCACAGTCCCTGCCTGTCTCACCAGCTCATGTCCCCTGTAGACTACCTACAAGGGCAAGTCCTCTTTCCAGACCTACTCAGACTACCTGCGCTGGGAGAGCTTCCTCCGGCAGCAGCTGCAGACCTTCCCTGAGGGCTCAGCCCTGCACCGTGGCTTCCAGACCTGTGAGCACTGGAAGCAGATCTTCATGGAGATCATAGGTGAGCCAGGCCAGGCAGGCAGGGCCCACATAGGTGACCTGGGGCATCAAGGGTGGCCAGTCCTATGGGAGTCACACTCTCCTCAGTCCTAGCCGAGAGCTAGGCCACTGATCAGACACCAGAGTTTGGGTCCTCTCCTGCTAGGGGCATCTGGCTGCATTGTCTGGCCTTGACTTTGGCCCCTGAAAAGTAACAGTCCTGGCCACTGGCAGCTATTGGTTATGGGCCCTTTCCAGATGCCAGACCCTTGCCAAGGGCCTGACCTGCCTTAACTGCTTGAACTCCAAATAAACTTCTACTTATGGGGTAGGCCCTGCTCTTACTGAGAGGCTGAGAGGTCAAGAGACTTAGAGTGGCTCAGCAATTGTGACTGCCCACTGTGCAACCCCAGTAGCCTCTGGGCTATGGTGGCAGGGGGTTCTGGGGGCTCCTTACTCTGCTGCCCCCTGAGGCCCCTGTTCTCCCACTTTGCAGGTGTGCAGAGCGCCCTGTACGGCCTGGTCCTCTCCCTGCTTATCTGCATAGCTGCAGTGGCCGTGTTCACCACCCATGTCCTGCTTCTGCTGCCCGTGCTCCTGAGCATCCTAGGTACATGCCAGGTGGTGGGGACAGAAACAAGCAGGGCTCTCCCTGAGGCCCAGGGAAGCAAGTTTCTCTGAGCCTCTGACCATTGGGTCTCGTCAGGGAAGGCCTGACCGCAGCAAGACCCTGCACAGCAAGAAGCTCCTCTGCTCAGTGCTGCCTGACGGTGGCACATAGGAGCCACAAGTCTCAGCTCCCAGAGTGGAGCCAAGTGTCCACTTGCAGCATTTGGTTCAGTGACTTGTCCCCTCTCTCGTCCCTTCCCTTCTCTAGGACTGGCCCCTGTCCCTCCTGTCACCCAAGGTGGAAGCTTTAGCCTTCCCCAGGGCCATGTTGGCAGGCTGGGTCCAAGCTGTGCCCCTGCTGACCCCTGCAGGCATCGTCTGTCTCGTGGTGACAATCATGTACTGGAGTGGCTGGGAGATGGGTGCCGTGGAGGCCATATCACTGTCCATCCTGGTCGGCTCCTCCGTGGACTACTGCGTCCACCTCGTGGAAGGCTACCTGCTAGCTGGGGAGAACCTGCCCCCTCACCAGGCCGAGGTGAGCACTCCTGCCATATGCGCCCCACCCTTGAATCTCCTCCCACCTTGGCACAATGGAGGGGTCCCCCAAGGACTGCAGGACACCCCTGGTACCCAACTCCCAAGCAGGCTATGCTCTGGGAGCTGAGGTTTCCCAAGCCTGATCTGCAAGCCCCAAGGAATCAAATTCTAAGGCTAGCTCAGTGCAAGTAGCAGTGGGGCTGGTCCATGCCCCCAGCCTGTCTCCCCAAGTGAGCACTCAGGAGTCGGACCAGACAGACAGTACACAAGGCCCTTTCCTGCCAGGTCTGCATCTGCAGCCTATGGAGCCAGGGGGGTGAACTGGTCCAGCCAACTCCTGAGGGGACACACACACACACACATATATACACATGCCCTTTGCGGCTTGTGTGTGCAGAGCCAGAGCCAGCTACAGCTAGGGAAGTGTTTGGGGTTCCTCCTAGTTTGGAATAGTGTTTGTGTGAAGACATAAATACATGAAAATTAAGTCAGTTGTGCTACACTGCTTTTGGTCAAAAGAACGAAGTCGTTTCAATCAGGGCTCCTATTTGTGTGGACCTACTATGTCAGCCGTCCTGTCCTTGGCATCCTGGCTATGTTGAGTCTGCTGTGCCCTGTGAAACAGCCACTGCTGCCGCCTCCTTATAGAGCGGGAGTTGGGGCCTGGGGGATGTTCACATGCTGCAAAGCCAGGTCCTGGTACTGGGTCCCTGGTGGGCACTCAGCCCCAGGTGTCACTCTCTGCTCCCCAGGATGCCCACTCTCAGCGCCAGTGGAGGACGTTGGAGGCAGTGCGGCACGTGGGCGTGGCCATCGTGTCCAGTGCCCTCACCACAGTCATTGCCACCGTGCCACTCTTCTTCTGCATCATTGCCCCCTTTGCCAAGTTCGGCAAGATCGTAGCACTCAACACAGGCGTGTCCATCCTGTACACGCTCACCGTCAGCACCGCCCTGCTGGGCATCATGGCCCCTGGCTCGTTCACCCGGACCAGGACTTCCTTCCTCAAGGCCCTGGGTGCTGTGCTGCTGGCAGGAGCCCTGGGGCTGGGAGCCTGCCTCGTGCTCCTACACAGTGGCTTTAAGATCCCTCTGCCCAGCGGGGCCATCCTATAGCCCTGTGCCTGGATTCTGACTTGTGTACCTTGGCCCAGCAGGTGGGGACCAGCCACACTGTGACCCCAGGGGCTCTTTATTTCCCAGCCAGGTTCCATTTGGTTCCTTTCCCAGGCCTGACCAAGCCAAGCCCATGCCACTACAACTGTGCCCAGCTGGGCTGCAGCCCCTCGCTGGACTCTGTCCTATCAGGGAAGGGACCAGCCTTCCTCCTGTGCCTGGTTACCATGGGCGGGTGGCTGACTCATTGAGGTCTCCTTGAACAGTGCTTCAGTGCTCATAACCTGCTGGGGTGGGCGTTTCAGGGACCCCGTTCTACAGATGTGAAGACTGAGGCACCAGGAGGCATTAACTGCCCTATGGCCAGGTCAGGGCAGAGCCAGAGCTGCCTGGGAACACAGGACTCCCTGGAGCCTTTGCAGGAAGAGCACAGTGGGGTCAAGGCGGGGGCCTCACACCCCCTGCTTTCCCTCCCCTCCCCCTCAGCTTGATGCAGCTGATGCTGGGTGTCTTGTGGTCCTCCCCAGGCCCTCACCCAGGCCAGCAAGGACAGAGACCCAGCCTGGTGTTGTGCATGTCCAATCCCTGGCCCCAGCTCGGGACTCCTCTAAGACCCTCTCGGGAGCTGTGGGGCACAGCACAGCCTTCCTCACAAGTCCAAGCCCCATCCCCCCACCTGATGTTTTGGGGGGCTGTCCCCTCTGGGGAGGAGCTGACCATGCCTGCTACCTGCTCATGGCAGATGGTTCCTATTAAAGTGAAATGAAACTGCAGCCCGCTGCTATTAACACAAGCATTTTAAGCATCGCTGGCCCCATATTTTTAAAATTGAAATAACTAAGTGTCCGCATGCAGCCCAGCCAGAGCCTGGTGCAGAGGGTGGCGCTGGACCTGGATGGAGATGGAGGTGGGTGGAGGGTACAAACAAGGATACAGAGCACTGTGAGGCTGGGGGCCTCCATTGTGGGAGGTAAGGCCCAGAGATGCCTCTGTCCTTCCGGGGCCCAGCTAACCCCACAGCTGGGATGTTTCTGAGTGCCTTTCAAAAGCCTGGCATCGTGCCGGGTGCTGGCCTGCTCTTTAGAGGGCAGACGTTCCCCTTGGGGTTCATGAATCTGGACACAGACTGAGCTGGGACTGATCTGTGAGGGGCAGGAAGAGCCCCAGGTAGTCTCCATGCTAGCTCACCTTGGCATCAGTAAATAGTAGCTGGGGGGCTGGGGCTGCAAGACAGTTGGATACCACCACCCCTCACACCTGACGCATGCCTGGCATGAAGTAGTGCTTGGTATTTGCCGAGGGAATGGTAGACTTGGGACCCACCATCCGTGGTGAAGAAATAAAAACAAGCAACTGGTGGTACTGATTGACACATGGCACTGTATGAGATACTCTTCTCAGGGCTGGTGTTCATGTCCTGGTGCCACCATAACAAAGCACCACAAACTGCTTAAACAGCAGGAATTAATCCTCACACTTCTGCAGGCTGGACATCCAAATCAAGGTGTTGGCAGGACTGGTTCTTTCTGGGGGTTTGAAGGGAGGGTCTGTTCCAGGCCTCCCTCTCCTGCTGACTGCTGGCTATCCTTGGCATCTGTTGGCTTGCAGATGCATGGCTCCAGTCTCTGCTTGTCATCACGTAGCCACCATTTCTCTGTGTGTCTCTGCTCACATCCTCTTCCCTCTTTGTAAGAGGACATGGGTCACAGGATTAGGGCCTAACGACTTCACCTTAACTTGCTCAACCATAAAGACCTTGTTTTCTGATAAGCTGGCATCCATGGGTGCCATAGATGGGGACTCCACCATGTCTTCTGAGGGGGACAGTTTGTCCCATACTGGGGCTACCTTGTACCAGCTCACCTGCTAGCCTTAGGAGCAGGTGTTTTTATGCACATTTTACACTCAGGGAAACCAAGGTCTGAGAAATGGACTCACTTAGATCACACAGCCAGTGAGTGGTGAGCCAGGCTTTGAGCCCACCCAGCCTGCCCCCAGGGCCTCTTACCGCCATTGTCACAAAGGCAGTGATGGCTACAGGAGGTCCAAGGTTGGTGGCCAAGTTGAGAAACCTGTTCTTAAACCCAGAAAGAAAGAAAACCCCTAGACTTGTACACCTTATGTGATTTCGTTTTCTGCCTGTGAAACTTGAGCCCTCGGAGGCCCAGCCAGAAGCACTGTGGCTGAGGGAAGGTTCCTGCCTCAGAGCACACAGCCCCTGAGGGGCTGCTTGGGGCTCAGACCAGGCTCCAACCCAGGACCTCTATAGCGCTTGTATGGGGTCACAACTGCAGGGACCCTTCTCTTCCAGATGACCACCCGCTGTGGAACATGGGACTTAGGGAGGAGGCAGGGGAGAAGGCTGGGAAATGAACAGCACACCCCAGAAGGTGCTTAGCAAGAGGACTGGTGTCTTAAGTCATTGTCCTGAGACCTTCCCAGTAATGTGGAGGCAAGTCATTTGCATATCATTTGCGTGCAGGCCACATGTTACCTGCTCATAAAGAGCCCTTGCTTGGCCCATTTCCTTTTAGGAACAGCTCATCTTCCTTCCCTCAGCCTCTACCTTTTCAGAGTGCGGCAGACAAGGTGGGCAGACAGGTCAAGGGTTGGGAAAGCCAGACCCTGTGCCTCTGTCACCTCCCTCCCAAGGCTGCCAGGGCTCCCCAGTTCTGTGCAGATCTCCAGGGCCTGGGGCCCTCAGGACTCCTTGAGTTAGGTTCCCATCTTACAGATGAGCAGCCTGGGCCCCAGAGAGGGAAAGCGCACGCTGGTCTGGGACCAGGCTTGCCCTCTCTTCTCAATCACAGACCTGCCTCTCCCTCCAAACTGCCTGTCCTTGTCCCTCAAGGCCCTGCCTAGTGTCTGATCTGTCCTGGTCCACTTCAGCAATGAACTCCCTCCCAGGGCGAGGGCCAGGACAAGGCTCGGTAAGAGGTGGATGAGGATTTGGGCCTTCCGTAGAGCTTTGACCATGCAGCTGGCTGCCTGCTTACCCACAAATAGATCCCCTCATCTTGTTTGTGACTGTTGGCAGCACGGGTCCCTGGGGGCAATGACTCCTGTGAGGAAAACCTTGACCTTCCTTTGCAGCCGATGCACGGCTGTGGTCTTAATGGGCTTTGCCAAGCTTAATGAGATGTTCCTAGTTCATTTGGCACAGCTGCAGCCTGAGGTGGCAGGACCCTGAGTGGAAGAGGGACTGAGAGCACCCAGAGGCCAAGGGAAGCAGGGCCCTCCCTCACCTGCCAAGGACCCCTGAGCCCCTGCTTTCTCTCCCCTTCTGTTGGGGACGAGACGTCATCCAGGGCTTGCTCATAAGGGGTGTGGGGCCCTACCCCACCTGGCCCTATTCCTCATCTGAGGGATCCTCCGTGTGCCTCAGAGATGGCCTTTGCCCTCTCTCACTGCCCCCATCCTCCTCCCTAGCTAACAATGAGTCTTGACAAAAGACAAGGCTGGGCCCACCCCATCTGCCCGAGGAAGCTGGGCTTTATCCTGAGGGGAGAAGAATATGACAAAAAGGATTTTAATAGCAGAAGCCCAGGGTTTACCTATGTGGTTGGTAGATCTAAAAGTCTGTAAGTGAGGGTGTGATGAAGCTGGCTCTTTGGTCGTGGAAGGTAACCTGGTTCAACCATGGAGGGAAATGTGGCAGGAACTATCAAAATGATAATCACACAGCCCTTTGGATTCAGCAGTCAGTCCTGCTTCAGAGAATTTATCCTGCAGATAAACTTAGCATTGGCCAAGTGAAAAGGTATCCACCAAAGACTTGTCTGTATAGCAAAGGACCAGGTCCCCTGCACCTCCATCAGCACAGGGACAGATGAAGTAAATTATGGCTCATCCGGTCACAACAGGACACTCCGCAGCTGTAAGGAAGAGGGAGGGGGCTTTCTGGGTGCCAGTGTGGAAAAACTACCAACATACATTATATGGGGAAGGAAAGGTTGCAAAACCATTGAAGTCCACGGGCTTATGTGTTTTTAAAAGGGAACAAGGTGAGAGAACTATGCTTCTTTTGTTTGCAGGAGCATCAAGTAATTTCGCAGCAGATGAAAGAAAAACTAAAACAGTGCTTTCGTGTGTGTGTGTGTGTGTGTGTGTGTGTGTGTGTGTGTTGGGGTGCAGGGGCTAGTCTGGTGCAGACAGAAAACGGTGGAAGACTTTGTTATAAATCTTTGCATACTCGAGTTTTTCACCTGCAGGAATGTATCATCTAGATGATCATGTAAGCATGGGAGAGAGGTGGCTGTCATTGGCTCCTTAGGAAGCTCATTCTGACTGCAGGGCAGAGGGAGGAAGGAAAGCAGGGAAGAAGGGGAACCTCACCCCGCCAGAAGGTCTCGGCAAACGTCAGTCAAGGAGCACTCACGGGAGGCACGCCAAGAGCTTCTTGGGGCAGTGCAAGGAGCCCTGCCACCTTTTCTGAGCAGGGATACCACTGTCTCTGCCCTGGAGCTGGGGAGTCTGGGCAGGAGGGTGGTGTTGCCTGAACCAATCTATTCCCAGCCCTGTGGAGGTGAGCATGCAGCCAAGAAGCCTGGAAGGGGCAGCCCCAGGGACCAGGAGGCCAGACAAGGCTCTAGTGAGAAGCATCCACTCACTGTGTGGCTGGGCAAGTCATGTCCTATCTTTATGTGTTTGCTCATCCATTAAATAGAATAACACCCTCTGTGCATGGTCTTTGCATCTTAATGAGGTGATGTTTGCTCAGGCCTTGACCACAGGGATACCTGCTACGCCATCATCACCATTACCTTGTTATCCGACAGGTTTTTCCCAACTCAGGCTGGCACGTGTGTGCTTGGAGTTGCAAAGCTCTCCAAAGAAGCAGGAACACTCCCTCCTCCCCAGGAGTTGCCCTCTGCCTGGGGCTCTGATGGATAGTGAACACGGCCACCACACCTTTTTTGTCCACTGGGATGTGGCAAGTGTGAAGCACAAAGGCTTAAAATATGATTAGCCTCTGTGCTTTTGCCCCTTCAGGAAAGGACACGTCCCACAAGCCTACTGGGTCCCGGAGGCTGAGAGGCCTGTGGAACTGACTTGACCCCACCTGT